AGACGTTAACACACACACACACACACACACACACACACGCACAGATACACACAGACACACACAAACATAGTCAGTGCCAACACAACCGGTCGGTATCGACTCTAAAATGCTGGGCTGCCAGGCCAGACTTGTGCAGTCCGGGGGACAGGACAAAAGGGAAGTCTTGAGGCAAGCCCGCAGTGGACAAAGGAGATGTAGACATGCGGACAGGCGGATATGTGGACAGACGGTGGCTGTTTCAGTTGCCCTGTGCACACACGCAGACAATTTGGAGAGAGGAGAGTGAGAGAGCAGGCCATAGCACCAGAGGGCGGAGCACGAAAAGTGTAGGGTTTTGGTGTCAAACGGAGCAGATTCTACAGCGGTTTCATGTCTTCCCAAAATCCCCACTTATTCATGCCTAAGCATGGATACATAGACTTTGACAGAAAGACGCTGTCATAGATACAGGCGCAGACAAAGACACATATACATACACACATGCGCATGCACTCAAGCCCCGACATGTCGATCCATAGTCGCAAGCCCGCCAGCAAGCACCCACACAGAAAGAAGTAGGGAAGCGAAATGTCTGAAAAGATACAAATCCCTTCAGAATGGGCATTATTTCAGCAAAGATGGTGCACATTGGCTTTCCAGTCCAGTGGAGTCCGTCAAAGTGTGCAGGAAACACATAAATGTGCTGGCGATTGTGTGATCGTGTACTCTCTGCACAATAACATACGTTTTTGTGCACACCGAGTGCAAATGTGCCTAGGCATGTGCATATGCGTGTGCTTGTGTGCCTATGTGAGTGTGTGCATGTGTCGAAATGGAATCGGAGAGTGGCCACCACGTGTGAATGACTTCATCCTGCCCAAAGGGACACCGGTCTTGTGTTTAGGGGTACCACTCGGTCTGATTGTATGAACTGGTTTAACAGCTTCCAACCATTCGGCAGCCGCCCATCAAGTCATCTCGTCGTCGACGGGGAGGACTAAATTGAGGCAGAAGATGCGGTACCGCTCCTGGTTCTGTGGCCAGTCATTGTTTTTCCTTTTCCTTTTTTTTCCTCTTTACGCTCTGGAGACCACTTAAAGGCATGCGAAGTCTACAAAGTGGCAACTCACTCCTTGCGCACCCGTTGCAGACATGCTGACTCCACCTTGCCGCTGAGTCTCAGAACTTGGCGCTTAGCAGCAACGAAGGCTCGGTAGACACCCACTCGGTTTCCGGGAGGAATTGAATAAAAGGCCTCTTCTTGCCGTCTAATGTCAATGTGCCCAACATCCCAAATTTAGGTTTTCATTCTAAACGGCGTGTGACCCAAACCTCGACCTCGTACAACGAGGCTATCTGGTGGTTTTGGCAGCATTACTTTGGTCTTGGTATTAAAGCGACCTTAAAGCAGCAACTTCATAATGTCTCCTCGAACATGGTCATTGTGATTTGTTGCGGCATCTGAAGTGCTCTGAAAGAAGACATAACAGGACTGACAGACACTTTGTCTGCCAATCTTGTTGTGCCGAGGTCCTCGAGGTATTCGAGGTATTCTTTTCATCACAAATAAATGTCTAACACGAAATCACACCAAGTTTGTCGACAAAACAGAAACTATGCGTAATAATTGAGAGAAACCTATCACTGCATGTCATTCTACGGCGGCAAAGTCTTGTTGGCTTTAAA